CCAAATCGGCACTTCCCCACCTGCTGCAAAACTGAGTGATAAAACGTCTGCGTTCTTAGTCTTTCCCTTTTCTCTTGATTGATGCTGTGACGGTAACTCAGGATGTCCTCTTAGAGTTACCTGCGTGATACAGCTGATGATGATGTGTCTTTCCTATGCCTCCCTCACCTTGTCAGAGGAAGGGGCCTTCACACAGAAAATGCTTCATTTTAATTAATTAATTAAAATGAAGCATTTTCTGTGTGAAGGCCCCTTCCTCTGACAAGGTGAGGGAGGCATAGGAAAGACACATCATCATCAGCTGTGTCACGCAGATAACTCTAAGAGGACATCCTGAGTTACCGTCACAGCATCAATCAAGAGAAAAGGGAAAGACTAAGAACGCAGACATTTTATCACTCAGTTTTGCAGCAGGTGGGGAAGTGCCGATTTGGATTTAAAAGAGCATGAAACACATGCAGGGTGGGGATTGTTATCAGAGCCGCCCCCCATGTATCTACCACTGTGAAGAGAGGCGCTGGGTAAGTGAATTCCCTAGCTCAGTGGTCTCCAAAGTGGAAGGGGTGTGCGAGATGATCCATTAGGGAGCAGAGGGAAATAGTAGAACTTACATTTATAGCTACCTTAGCGAAAGGCTATTTGAAGCTTTACTAGTGGTTTAGATATGAATTGACCCGGGCACCCTCACTCAGTCTGCACTGAGAGTGCCACCAGGTGTCTAGCATCAGTCAAGCCAGGAAACCCAAGGGAAGCTGAGCGTTCCACAACATGAAGGGGATAGTAACGTCATTCTTGTCTTCTCATCCCCAGTGTTGCTTCCAATAATCTATAATGTCTCTTCTTTAAATCTCCTAACATATGAATTCTAGAGCATCAAGTGTGCCTGTGGAATCAGCATTTCCTGCTCTGTACCCCAGAGATGCTCTCAGACACTGGAGGATGCGTTACCCGTCCTTGCACTAAATGGTCCCAGGCAACTATTTTCCTAATTAACCATTCTTCTGTCTCCTCCTAGGCTCTCCCCCAGCAAAACTGAGGTTGCCAAGAGAAACAATGCACCAAA